CTGTTTTGAAGTAGACAGTCTCCAAAGTTGGCCACTTATCTATTCCTTCCCTTCCTGTCTGTGCAAGCCACTCTCCCCATCAAGAGGCAAGGTCTATTTCCCTCCCCTTTAATCCAGCTGGACTTGCGCCTTGCTTTGGTCGAGAGAAAGTGAAGGAACTAACCCTGTGCCAATTCTAGACCTACTCACTCTTCAAAAAGCCTGGAAGTTTTGCTGGACTTGGAAGCCAGCTCAGATAAAAAGTCCAACAACTTTGATGCCTTCATGCTATAAAAAAGACCAAGCGGCCACACAGAGCGACTGTGTGGAAAGATGGAGATGGCCTGCTGGCTCCCAGCTCATCCAGCCACCCCAGCTGGGGTGCCAGACACATGAGTGAAGGAACCACCTTGGACATCTCAGCCCCACATCACCACATGGAGCAGCAGACCTACCTAGCTGAGCTCAGCCCAGATTGCAGAATCATGAGAAATAAGAAGTTATTGTTTTGGGCCAATTCACTATGCAGCAATAGAAAGAGGATATGTGTGCCCCTGAGGGCGGGGGAGAGGGAGACACTGAGAATGTGTCTGAGTCCCAGGACAAGCACCTGAGCAGAAGCTTGAAGTGGTTCTCCCCAGGGCTCTGAGTGAATGAGAGCATACGTGCCCTGCTTTGGGGCCTAAGAGACACAAAATCGGGGAGCAAAAGTTCTGCTGTGTGTGCAGACTGCAGCCTGGGGTTGGCTGAGCTCTGCGGAGCGAAACACTCATCTGGCACTTCAAGGGTCTGCAGCTTGGGGTGAGGGCTGCAAGCTAGGCAGGGACGTCTTCTCAGGGGAGTGCAGGGGGAGTGGCTTTGTGGCCAGAAGACATCAAGAAGCTGCAAGTGAGAGAACTCCCAAGTTGACAGGACTATCCTGAGCTCACTTAAGATGAGCCTGGGGACTCCTGGAAATGCCCAGAGGACACCCAGGAAGAGGAACCCCCTGTGAGCAGAAGGAGGCAGAGGTCATGAAGTTGAGTTGTTACTGTCTTTGGGACCTCACATGTGCCCACCTGGCTAGTGTGGCCCCAAGAAACACAGGAAAGAGCAGGAAGGCTTGAAAGTGACAGCCAAAAAAGCTGAATTCAGAAACTAGGTGAAACATCCTTGGGGACTGCCGGCACTAGGTGGGAGGAATCTGAAGGGGGCTGGTGTGGGCAGAGAAGATGCCCAGAGAAGTCCTGTTTATTACTGTGGTTCTAACTCTGTTTCGACCTCCCTAGCCCAGCCTTCTAGGCTGGAGCTTTGGCAAGGACACTGAAAGGATTTTGTTGAGATGCCCAGGCCCTGGGTTCTCTTGGCACAGGACTCAATTTTCCAGCTCTTCCTAGGGACAATCCGGTCTCTGAACCCAGATTCTGGGCCTGGGAAGGAAGTGGTTTCTAGATCCAAGAGGTCTCTAGAGGCAAAGAGAGACTCAGACCAACAAAGAACCAGGAACTCAGTCAGAGGGGGCTACGTGCCTTCAGTGGGCTGGGACAGCCCGCTGTGTGTGTGTGTGGTGGGGGAGGGGATGAGACTGTGTGATTCCAGGGCCCAGAATGGCAAGAAGGACCATTGCTATGGACCACACAATTAGCAAAATGTTCCCAAGACATCAAATCAGCTAAGGATTGGAATGGGGCTCAGTGGGAAACCATCTGCGACTAATTAGCGATGGCAACCCAGAGGCTAAGGACAGTGGCAGCTTGTCGCTCCGTGACCTCCGCCAAGCGACTGTACCTCTTACTCTTTCTCACTTCTAAAGCACAACGTAAGAAAAGGCAAGTGGCCGAGCAGTAGGGAGCCCCTTCCTTACTCATGGGGACAAAACCCTTGTTCATGAGAAGGAGCCCCTAGCAAGCACTTCCTGACTGTCCACGTAAAAGCCTCCGAGAAGCTCAACTAGGAAGCTTCTTCCCTGTCCCTAAGCTGTCCCCAGGGTGCTCAGAGAGATCTTTTTTTAGGGTGTCTGTGAGCTGTGCCACAGCTGGGGCTCAGCCTCTCACCCCAAAGTACAGCCCCTCCTGGTTGGTCGGCACCCTCCAACCACACCCGCACCCTCCGCTGAGCAGGCATGTCCACCCTTACTCATGACCTCTCTCCAGCCTCATCTGCATCTGACATCCCTTGTTGGGCTGTGGCAGAGAATACTCAACAGACTCATATTAAAAATGCCCTTTAAAATACAAAAGCTTTGAACTAAAGAAATACCTAGCAAAGTTTTCATGGAAAGTTCAGATCTGCTGGTTCAATTCACTACACTTAGATGCACCTTTTCGAATAATAGGGAAAAAATGTAACAGGGTCAGACCCAATCAATATGCTTGTTCAAACGGAATTGCGGGGACTGTGATGTGCACACATTTGTACTCTGCCTTTGTACCCCGCCACTCGCTCTGAAGAAAGGTTTCTTTGCTCGGAGAGCAATGAAAGTGGTCGCCTTTGGAGTGGAGGCAGCAAAGCAATGGCATGTTTACCGGGCCGGGAGGGGCTGCCATTTTTCACATCCCCCAGCCTTGTCTCTTTGTTCTTTTCATAACGGCGCAAAATCCACATGGGCCAAGTTCTTCACACACCCAGGTGTCTGATGCTGAAGTGGAAGCAGAGGGCTCCCAGCATTTGCCTGCCACGTCTCAGAAATGTGATTTGCGGATTAGACAAATAATTTGCTGCTTCGTTCCCACCCTTGGTGCGAACAAAAAAAAGGACTTGCCATGGAGTACTGTACTGCAGTTGGGGAAACCGCCCAAAGCTTAAGATCAACTCTTATCTGGCTGAGTCAGGGTCCACATCTGTCCACTCCCTGCCCCTTCCACCCTCAAGCCGACTTTGGACACACAGAGGCTTCCCTGGCCTTAGACTACAACCTACAACAGCCAGGAAAATTCTGGAGAACCCAGCTTAACTGAAGATAGCCAACTGGGGAAGGGGGCTAAAGGCAATTTACGCCCCACAGCCAGACACATAGACAGGCAGATTGAATGATGGGAGCAAACAAAAGGCTATTTTTCACCATCCCCATCAGTTTGGGCACATCTCAATGTCAATCATCTAAACACTGCTCTGGACATGTCAGGAGGCTCAAGGGGGGATTAGGAAAAGCTTTTATTCCCAGCTCCTATATTTCAAATTAGATCTTAAAATGTTTTCATTGTCTTCAACCTAGGCCCAGATTAAAGTTAAAACTCAGGAGTGGATGCTAACAATAGATGCAGAAGCAGCACACTCACATCCCCTTTTATCAACCATAATCCTATCATTTAAAACACTGCTCAGGTTCTGTGGTCTCCTATAAATAAGCGAAGCTGAAATCGTGGGCCACGTGGAGTCTCCCAGTCTTCCCCACCTGGAGGGTCCCTGGTCAGCGAGTACTTTCACAGATGGCCCCATCTTACCTCAAGTAACAAGAGTCCTCCCAAGGGGTTTGAGAAGGGGACTATGCCACGTTGCCTGTTTATACATGATGCAGCTGGAACGTACCTTTTCCAAACTGCGCGTGCTCTTCATCGAGTCTGAGTTTGGGACCTGTCATGCTCTCTGAATATTGAAATTGGGGCCACGCTTCTTACAGAACAGGCTGTACCTCTTTCCTGCTGGAGCTGGAGAGAACAGTTAGAGAGTCGCCATGTTCCCTCTTACACAGGATTGTGTGTCTGAAACAAACTGAGACCAACAGTAAGAAAACCACTGACATGTTTTCCAGAGAAAAGGTCTACAGACAGCAACTTGTGTTAGGGTATCGCCCTCTGTACCTTGTTTTTTCTCTTTTGCACTCAGTCGTGGAGGAAGCCTCCTCCCTCTAACCCTCTTCCATCTGTTATGGAGATATCTCCAAGTAATGTTTAAAACAAGAGGGTGCTTTTTATTTTAAAATTCAAAAAGAAATCGGTAGCTAAAAGAGCAGCAGTGTCCTCTGTTCAGAATGCCTTGGAATCTATTTCCCCCAGTTCAAATAACTGGAAAGTTACTCTAAATCTCGGGTGCTCTTCTTGGCAACAGAGAAAAATTGCTATAACAACAAACTTGGAAATATACGCAACCCTAAACTGAACTGGCCTCTTGCCTTCTGCTTTAAGCATTTGTCAGAAGTCAAAATGAATTAAATACAAATCTAGTTTGCAATGGTCCGTCACTAACCCACCTCGTTGGCATGAGCACACGGCGTGTGGGTTGGAAGGGGGCCACTGGCATCCCTCCTGCTTTCCTGGGTTGCAGTCTGCCTGCCAAACCAGCCCCACAGGGAGTCCATAGCCCGGTGGCTCCTCCACAGGGGTGGGGGACACCCTGAGCAGCAGCGGGGGTCCAGAAGCACAGGCCTTCTTCCCCTAGGCCTCCGAAGTCAATCAAGTGTCAAGGAACTGTCATCAGGAGAAACTTTTCACAGGTGAACACAAGCAGGATCAAGAACTGACAGTGGGGATTTTCCAAAGAAATGGAGAAAAAAAACTAACACAGGCGACTCACGAGAACAGAGCCAGCAAGAGGCAAGAAGTCTATCAGGTTAATATTTTAATCTGTACATCACATTTTTTTTTTTTTTTGCAAACCATTACGCTTTTATTTAAATTAACTTTTCTTGCAAAATATTCATTTCATTTTTCCAACAAAATCTTATAAAGGCAAAAATAAAATCTTATTTTGGCAAATGTCATGAAGTCGATACTGGCAGCATATGGAGTTAGTTAAAAATAGACGTCAATTTCTAAATATAGTCAAGATTTTTTTCTGACCATAGTCAAAGACAAATTTCCACTTAAAGTGTGGCTCCACCCAATGGAGGTCCCCCCCCCCCCTTTAAACATTTTCTGTATGCGGAATATCATGAGCTTATGACTTAAATAAAGGGCCTGGCTTGGCAACCCCTTCCTCATTTTGGGCTGGAAGTCAAGTCGAAGTCCTGCCATCATGGCCCTGCTGGCTGCTGGCCGTGAGGGATGGTGGGGACACACTGCCAGCCCTCCTGCCACCAGGCCAAGTCCTAGGAAAACTGACTTAGGTTCTCCAGGGGCAGGCAGCAAAGCTCCCAGGATCCCTATCACAGCCCAGTGTGGTGTCAAGCAGGTTTAGGTGGGTGCCACCCAGTCTGGGAGTTTATTGCTTATGATATAATAAAAGGTGCTTCCTCTCACCTTTTCTATATTTCAAAGTGAATTTTTTTAATTAAGCAAACTACTTTTTTTCCTTCCTAAGAAGAGCCCTTCGCTGAGACAACCTCATGGGCAGGTTGGGAGCCAAAACTCTTGACAACACTGTTGCCCCGAAACCAAACCCCAGGGGTCAAGGCACAGACTTGGGCTCCACACGCCATCCCAGTGGAGTGTGACACCCCAAAGCAGGTCACCAGGCCAAGGGCTCCTCACTCCCCAGGATGCACACTGATGAACCTATTGCTGGAATCCACCAGAGGAACATTCTCAAATCCGACCTTCACCTGAGTTCATCGGATGTTGGAATGGCCTCTGCTTACTCTGTCCTCCCCCACACCCACACCCACACCCACACCTACCACCCGACGGCCCCTGGATCTGTATGTGCAGCTCCATAATCATGCATGCTCACCTTGCCAGCCACTCAGCCCTTAAGGTGAAATTATAAAATATATTCTGATTTAAAATACAGTGTCAGTATTGTAGTGTGTATCAAAAGTGCGTTTGTCATATGTAAAAAGGAGTGAACTAACACAAGTCGGGGGGTGGGAGTGAGGACCTAGCCCTCATCGACACCCACAGTTGGAGGGCTCCTCCCTCCCTCAGCCAGAACCCCTGCTCGGCTGCAAGGGATTTCCTTGGAGGGGGAAAAGTCAATCTTCTCAGAGGAAGCTGGTTCCACTGGACCCTGGCTCCAGATTTCTCCTCCGCACACTGCGTCACGGGTCAGTCACTGCCTGGGCTGGCAAAAAGCACAGGAGACAATGAGAAACTGGCAGGACCCTGCCCATGTCTGGGGAGCAGGCAGTGGGCAAGTTCACGCACACATGTGACAGGAAATGGGAGGCTGACAGACACAGAGTAGCAGAGCAGAGGGCTGGGGCAATGCGGCCGCTGCGAGGGGACCCTCGGCTTCTAGAACTCACAGGCACTCGAGCTCACCCTTCCTCCAACTCGACCATTTCTAGGCAGTTTGCCACATACGTGCTGACCCCTAAATTGGGTCCCTGCTCTGACAGAGCAAAAAGCCTGAGAAAAGAAGGTTCTGGGGTCCAGTTCTGGCCTCTCTCTTCTTTCGCTGAGTGACTTGGGGTAACTCTGCCAGGCCCCAAGAGCCTTGTCTTTTGTTTTTTGTTTTTTAATCTAAAATCAGAGTGGTCATACCCACCCTCTAACGAGGATTCTGGGAGGTGAGAGGAAATGCAGATGTGCTCTGAAAAGAGCATTAAAAGCCTATTTCACATCCATGGGGGCACCAAAAGCTGGGAGTGCTCTGAAAAGAGCATTAAACGCCTATTTCACATCCACGGGGGCACCAAAAGCTGGGAGAGGACAAGAGCCTCACCCCAGCCTCTGACTTGGACAGTATCACCACACTCGGATCTCTAGGAAAAACTACACACCCGACCGTAGCCCCAGCAAGACTCTGCAGCCTTCACAAAACACCCAGCTGGAGCATTTCCGCGTGGTTCTTCGGTCACAGGATCTCTATTCCACACCCCCCGAGAACCCAGCCCAAGCAGGCCGGCCCCTTCCTTCCTTCTTAGGCTGGCAGGGCCTGCTGGCTCCACCAGAGGCTGGGTAAATGCCCGGGCTGACACCTGCCGAAAACTATGTCCCTCACCCCCCTATGCACACACTCTGCCGCTCACTTCACGCCCTTGTCCTAGTCCAAACACCTGGAGCTCCTAGGGCAGGGGCGCCCAGATGAGTCCATGGGTAGGGATGGAGAACAAAGGCTCTGAGCTCGCAGTGAAGGGGTTCAAATCCTGGCTCTGACACTTACAGCTGTGACTTCTTGGGCAAGTCCCTCAAGGTCTCTGAGCTTCGATTCCTCATCTGTAAAATGTGGGTGAACATCTTCATAGGGTTGTTGCATGGATCAAAGGAGATGCTTGGCACAATGCCTGGCACGCCGTAGGTACTTAACAATGTTAACCGTAAGTATATATAAAGGAAAGAGAGGGGGAAACCCTACAAAATGACAGCGAGGTGAAATATCAGAAAAAGGATGCTGAGACTTCTGATCTGACTTCTCCCTGGCAGGGTGAGGCGACTGGGCTCAGAAGCAATGGGCCCAGGACAAGAACTCGCCACAAGACTGAACCAGAAGCCGGGCCTCCCGAATCCTGGTCCCGTGTTCCTTCCCTAATCCCACACCACCTCTCATCACTAATGCTCACGTGGGGAGGACTCAGAAGGGCTGGTGCTGGAACCTTCTGAATGGCTGAGGGCCAGTTTCACATTGCCCTGGGCGGCCTCTCCGTGAAGCTTCCCTTCCTCTCCACCCTAAGGTGCTCAAGTGACTAAAAGGGCAGTCCTAGTCCTTGCATGGGCACTGATTCCCTGTGACCTACAGTGAGGCCACAACCCCTCACAGGGCCCCAGTTTCCTCATCTGTAAATTGGACTTTTCCAGTCTTCCAGTTCTTCAATTTCTTTGGCCAAAGCCTCGAGCGGTTGAGCTAAGTCTTCCTTTCCAAGCGGCCCCGATCCTCTGCACTCTCCTGGCCGCGGGAAGGAGAGCAGGGTGAGGAGGGGTGCGGTTTAGCTCTTGAGATTTCTGGGAGGTGGGAGGCTTGGATCTTACGGTCTCTACTGTATTAGAGCTACTGAGGGTGCAGTTTCTAAAACACATCAGCCCCCCACCTGCCTACCGGTCCAGGTGGTCTCCCCAGCGGCCGCTTTGCCACAGGAAGGAAGCGTCAGCAGGTGGCACTGCAAACATCTCAGCAACGGAAGGGGGAGGGGCGGGGCATGCACGGCGCCGGGCAGGGGCACGCCAGGCAGGGGCTCTTACTTGGAAGGTGTTAGACAAAGGTGTAGTGGAGTCCGTTGCTTAAGGGGGGGTAAGGTGGCACGGTCCTGGCGGACAGGGGGGCTTTAGGCGGGAGGAGGGCCAGCTGCTGCGCTAGACGGGCACACAGGAATTAAGCGGTGTGTTAGGCTCCCCGTCTGTTCTCGCAGCGCGAGACGCCCCACTTGGCAGGGCTGCGTGGCGTGAGCACTGCCGCCCACCATTAATGGCCTGGGCTTGAGGGGCAGGGGCACATCTGCGGGGCCTGCAGATCCCAGATATGTCTCTGGGATGGGAGAGAGAGCGAGAGGGAAGCAGGGCTGAAGCACAGGTGGCCACTTGGCGGGGAAGTGAGGGTGGCCCTGCTAACTGTTCAGTTTGGGGCCTGCTGGTGGTAAGGAAGCCAGGGACCATAGGCCCACATGGGTAGAGCAAGCACAAGCTGGACAGGAGGGCACTCATGGCTGGGGGGTACCCCCACGGGAACCCTTGGCATGGGGAGGAGCTCGAAATTGCTGGAGTGGGCCACAGGGAGCCCAGGATCATGAGAAGGAGGGGTCTGGGAGAGCCATCTCCTGTCTCCCCCGCCACAAAAAGCCACACTGAATTCTCAGTCCACTCAGTATGTCTTCCAAGGGAGTCAGGACAGCAGAAATCTCAGGGACTCTGTGTAGGATCAGGACATTGGGGCAGAGAACAGGCTTCTGCTGAGATCTCGGCCCCTCCCCTTGGCCTTGGTCATTCCTATGGCTTCTCGAGGCACCATTAAAGCTCTGCTTCCCAGACCAGACTCCCCAGGACAGGTCACCTCAGGACCCTGCTCCCTTGGTCACTTCCAGATCCTTTGGCCAGGGTTGGAATACTGGTGGGGATTGACAGAGCTTCAGGCTCTATGACCACACCTCTCCAGAAGGCCGAGAGCACACCTGCCAAAGGCATCACCTGGCCCACAGCGGCCTCTGCATTTGGGGAGAAACTGTGCCAGGTGAACTGTGAGGGCACACATGGGGAGGGGAGTGGTAGGTGGAGGGAGGAGTCAAGAGTCTCTTTCCTGGCTAAGAAAGCCGTTTTACACATGCACATGTACTTGTAGACCCAGGCATGCAGCACGTACACACGTGCACACACACACACACACTCCCTTTCCACAGTGCTGTTTTTATCCATTGGCTACTTGTAGACCCAGGCATGCAGCACGTACACACGTGTACACACACACACTCCCTTTCCACAGTGCTGTTTTTTATCCATTGGCCGACAAAGTCCCACTTCCCTAGTCCTGCTTTCTGGCACATGTCACTCACCCTAAGGTGAATGACAGCTTTGATTTGGAGACCAAAGCAGGGGTCCCAGGGAGGACAAGAAGGCCCCATTCTGCCTTGCAAGAAATTCAAGCACCAACGGCTCTGCTGGCCCCCGTTATGAGGCCAGAAACCACAGCCTTGGCCCCTGGCTCAGAGGCCTGAAAAACCTGTTCTTAACCAACAATCTCAGAGAAAGCGGAGTAGTAGCATTCTCCAGATTGAAGAATGAGCAAGAGAGACCCCCTCTCCCAGGCCTTCCTCTGACACTCCTGAGATGCAGGCCCCTCCACTGCCTGGCCTGCCCCACATCACCTTCTGAGCCCTGTGGTGTTCATGGGACAGGAGAACACACCACTGGCTCTTGACTACCAAGCTCGACACCTGGTTTCCCTGACAGGCCCTGTGGGCCCTGGGCCGCAGGGGCAGAGAGTAGGACCCAGCCTTGGAGGCTGGCTTCTATGGCCTCACCTGCCACCTGCTTGCTGCGCTGGGAGGCCTCGGAGGCCAGGGCGTAGGAGATGTTGATGATGCGCTCCTGCTCCTGCAGCTGCGAGTCCAGGTCGGCCACGCTGTTCCGGTCCTGGCCTGAGGCCGGCTGCAGGTTGCACATGCTGCAGGAGGGCCAGAAAGCAGGCTGTGGGCCCCCGCCACCCCGGCATCCACCCCAGGAGAGGAGGGGCTTCCTGGCTTAAAGGATCTCATTCTTGTAAGGGTTATCAGATAAAAACGGTCTACACTCTCTCTAGACACAGGTATAGGTGCTTCTCCCCAAATACCTAAACAATCCCAGCCTTGTTCCTTCTCTGGGAAAAATCACAGACCTCGAGGTAAGTGCTCCAGCTCTGGGCTCCTGTTAAATCCAAGTGTGAAACAGCTACCTTAGCTCTGAATGGAAGGCCCTCAAACACCAGGTTTACATTTGAGAAGCTATGAAAGCTGAGGGGACAGGAAAGCCACTTCTTAGGGGCCCATCACAGCCTCCTAGGAAATGGCCAAGGCCCCTGGCACCTCGGGACAAGTCTGGAGCCCCTGGCTCTGGTCTGCGGGTCTGTGTGCGAGAATAGGGGCCCTAACGCTGGGAGCTACAACTGTGTCCACTTTACTGCCATACTTGGCTTCATCCCAGCACTTGCCAGGGTCACTGGACGTGGGATGAGCCTTCTATGAGTGTTTCGGCACTTCCCAGATAACCCGGGCAAGCTTCTTCGCCCATCTGCTGGTGACGTGCTGAGTGCCAGCCTTCCCGTTCCAGTGAGGAGGCCTGGCTAAACACACACCTAGCCAGCTTGCCCAGGGCCTTCCCAACAGACACCCCAGGGGTCGGGGCTGGCGGGCTGCCAGAACCTGGGCAGCGCGAGTGCAGACCTGGACCGGGCGAGGATGTTGCGGATCTTCTCAGCTTTGCGGTACCGCGCCTGCAGCTCCTCTAGGCTGGGCGGCTCTTCGGGATCCAGCTCCACGTAACGCTCGGGGATGGGGACCTTCTCTGGTTTGGACAGCTAAGGAGAGGACCAAGAGGTGGGCAGAGGCTCAGATGTTTGGGTTCGGGACCTGCTCCCCACCCTGTCCCCCATGAGGAAGCACACATTGCCCACAGAGGTTAAGTGACTTGCCAAGATCACATTGGCAGTCCATAGTCTACGTTCTTTCCACTATACCAGAAAGCACCTACAGGCTAAGGGGAGGGGAGGGGGAGACAAACAGCTGGACTAGAAGCCCTCAGGATAAAATGATCATCCTCCATGCCACCCTCAACGTGAGCTGGACCTTGCCAGCCTCTCCAGCCACACGGTCGCACCATGTGGCCTCTGTCCTCGCTCGCTCCTCTGCCTGGGACACTCTTCCTCTGTTCCATAGACTCTTCCTCATCATTCCCACCTCATCTCCAGATGCCTTCCCTGACTGAACTGTTATTCCCTCCACTTTTCTGTTTGTCTCTCCACTGTCTGTGCAAGGACCTGGCACCTAATAGTCTATCACTAAATACTCCTTGGATGGGTGGACAGATAGGTGCATAGATGAATGAGTAGGTGGATGGGTGGGTGAGGTGAGTGGATGAAAGGATGGCTGAGTAGATGGCTAGGTAGTTGCATATAAGGAAGTGATAGTAATTTCTGTCTCTACGAAAGCTCCTCAGATATAGACAGGAGGCAGCCATGCTTATCTATTGTTTCTAGAGGAAAATGGGCCCTGACTCCTCCCCACCACTCTCTCTCACAAACCCAGTAGCAACCTCAGCTTGGTGAAAACTCTCTAAGAAAACTAAAGGCAACTTTTATACATTCCAGGGAATTTTTTCCTCCTTGGGCTACAACGGCACATTAAAATGGGGCTGGTTGAAGCTTCTAAAAACAAGCTAAATCCGATCCCTGGGCAAATCTGGACTTGAATTAAACCCAGACAACCCTTTCATTCTGGTGAAAGATGTCAAGAAATAAGCTCTTCTCTGTTGTTTCCAATGAGGGCAGATCCAGAGGAGGAAGTAGATTACATTGTAGCAGGAGGGATTTAGGTTAGAGATAAGGAAGGACTTTTTCCCCTGGCTGGCAGGCCAGTCAGGACACTAAAGCAAGCAATTTCATTGCCAAGACAGCATGTAGAAGCTTCTTTTGTGAATCTGAGAAAGTACAGACCTTTGGCTATTTCAGAGGTGCCAAACAAAAAAGGGTCTAAGGACATGGAACTCATTAAGCTCTGGAGCCCCAGCTGACCCCAGAAGTCATCCTCCAGAGGTGTCAATTTGCCCACATGCCGCTAAACCTATCCTTCATGTGGTGAGAGCAGTTCCTCTTATGAAGTTTCAGGCCAGGCAAGTCCTCATACAAATGTTTTTGGGATATCTGTAGGCCACTGCATGTTTCATTCAACAGTTATCATTCAGCAAATATTTATGGAGCACCTACTTTGTGCAGATCTAGTTCTAGAGGGACAAAAGTAAACCAAATAGTCATTAGACTCTGTCCTACAGAGCTTATAAAAGACACAGTAGGCCGCAGGAGACCACCCTTTGTCTCAAAGACCCTGAGTCTGTCACTCTCTGATTCCCTTTCTCTTCTCCTGAGACGTTCCTGATTGCGAGTGATCCAGGGGTTACTTGCTTTCCTAGGCCTGTCTGTCATGATATATTTAAGCCAGCAGAGGGCGCCAAAAGAATTCACACCAGAACTGTGCAGGTCTCCTAGTCTCAGCCATGGCTGGAAATCTCATCTGTGACTTTCAAACACAGCCCCCATTCTCCCTAAATCCTCTTGCCCAAGTCGACCTGACTGGGCCAGTTGCAAGGCCATCCCCAGGTTTTCTGGAGAATGTTTTCTAATAATAATTACCTCATCACATGCCTACTTTGTGCGGGTTTTGTACTCACCACCTTCTGATCATTCCTAATCCTCCGGGCAACACACTGAGTCAGTTAATCCCCCTCATAACCCACTTTACCATCGAGAAAAACAAGGTACAAAGAGGTTAAATGACTTGTCCCAAATTACAGAGAGATACAGATTTGAATCTGCATCAGGACACTGGGCTTTTATTGTCTCGAGCTGCTATCCATCCTATCTTCTGGGCCACAATGAAGCCGAGCCTTGTCCCCATTCAGCACAACACCCCTCAGTGCCACTGGGGGCCCAAAGGCCATGCCTCCTCGAGGAGCATGAAGGAAACCCCTGCCCTCACCTCTCTGCTGATGTCCAAGTCATAGTCTTGTGGTTCCAGGTCCAACTCAGTGACAGGCATAGCCTGCACTTTCAACCAGCCATTCTCCTCCTTGTCCTTTCTTCCCCCTTGCATGGCCCGGTCCAGCAACTGCAGGTCAAAGTCCTGCTCGCGTTTCCACTGGCAACAGAACAAGAGGGTAAAATGTAGTCACTTTCTGACTGCTCCAGGAGCCATGCCGGTCCCCTTCTGGATGGGTCTCGCAGGTCCTGGTGTCCTTGGGAAGATGGACCTGGCCTGCGACTCACTGGGGAAAAGCTGTGTGACCACAGACCTCAACCTCCTCACCTCTAAAACAAGGCAAACAGTTTTATGACACATGTAGTCCTTGCTATATGCCGTAACTGTCCGTGTAACGGAGGATGAGGCATCTGTCCCTTTTCTACAGCCTGATTCCAGACTGATTTCTCTCTGACCTGGATCCCCCGAGGGTTCAAATATGCACTCCAGGGCACAGGTCAAAGACCCACAACCTTAGACTCACAATGGTCCCCGGGGATACAGGAGGCTCCCGGGTCCAAGAGGGTGACCCCAAAACAGAACCTGGGACAGAGCTCCAGAGGAGAGATTTGCCCCTTCTGCTGCCCCACAGTCATGAAGGCTTTCTGATTCAGGGGCCATACGTCTCAGCTCAGAAATCATGGAATAGCCAAGGGCCTCGCTAATGGGTATTCCCGACAGGATACATTGAGGAGTGGGGGTACTGAACCCACAATGGGGCTGGGGAGGTCCAAGCAAGAACAGCTTGGGGTCGGTGAGGCAGATAAACCTCTGCGTATCACGGCATCTATTTGGGGCAGGTTTTAAGTTAGGAAAAGAGAAAAAGAAACCATATAAAATCGAAATGCTAAATCAAATGCAATATTTCCAAGTCTGTTCCTCACTATCAACCTTTTAACAAATGTCTCCTCATATAAGGAAAATCTAACTGGCCATTTCAAGATCCAAGCACAACTGTGTAGCTCCGCGGCAGCCTTTCTAATCACCTGTGGCCCGCATCCTCACAGGCCTTTGACGCTGAGCAGGTTTCGAGAGAAGGGAACAGGCTCAAAGCCTCTCTTCTCTTGAGCAGAAGCCAAGCAGGTGCTTCACGATCCCAGGTCACCTCCTCCCTCCCACCACATCCCTCACAGAGCCCCAAGCAGTCACAATTTTCTTCGATGACCCCACGAGTCCCCCCAAGGATCCAAACCCATAGCCATATCCTTACATATCACCCATTCAAGCACAAGCTCTCAATGCTGATTCCAAATCAATGTAATTGCTCTTAAGTGATGGTTTCCAATCACGGTATGAAAGGATTAAATGGTTGATATTTCAGAAGTGAAAAATTAATTTAATGATTCACAAAGGAAAAGCACATTTTCTTACACGCTCACAGTTGCCCCAGATAGAGACAAGCCCTCATTTAAACCCGGCCTGATTGTTTCCACAAACAGAAAAAGATCACTAGGCTCTACAGTGTATCCTGGGGAAGAACCACGCCAATCCATTATCATTAAACAACACATTTATTGGCGTTGATACAGAGACTGACACAAGTCTTTTTTTTTAAGAGAGAAATTACAAGGTATTCAAGTTACGATTTTTAGATAAACTTTCTACATTTGAGACATCGGGTTGTAAAAGGTCAGTGTTACCCCATGTGACATTTGCTTATAAAGTTTAGAAGTTACTGGCTTTGCAGCTTTTCAGGATATGAGTGTCCTGGGTCTTACTCCTTTGGTGTCTGAGCTAACAGCTGCAGAGAGGCCTTGTGGATACAGAACATATCCTGCTATCTATTCAAGTTATTAAATACTAGAAACACAAAAATTTTTTCCACAAGAAATTATGTGATGAGACTGGACCACCTTCCACTTGGTAGAATTTATTCAAATGTACAATCGCCGAAGTCCGTGCCTACTGTCCAGGTGTAAGGCATGGACTTTGATAAATTCATAAGGTGCAGACCTCTGCCAATGACCACGACCCTCGGGTGGCAGGTTGGCTCAGTCCTGCGCGGTGGCTTTTGGGATGAGTGAATTACGAGTCAGTAGGCCTGCATGAAGGGCACAGCAGAAAGGTGAGTCACACGTGGGAATGCTCGCTAGGCTACGGAGACAAGAGCTGCTATTACAAGCCCAGTAATGAAGAGCACAGGCCAGTTAGAGAATGTTCAATGCAAATTAGAAGCTTCTGTAAACACAATCAGGCAGGATTAGAGAGGCAACGAGCGGTAACACTAAAAGCAAAAGAGCTTGTGCAATGAATTAGGGAGAGAAGAGTCAGGCTAGAGGTCTAGGGAAACACTGGATTTCAAACAACAGGGAAAAGTCACATGGGATGTTTCCAAAAGGGACCGAAGGCGACCGTGGGCAGGGTGCAGTGCCTGTAAGCACCACCAGGGGGCAGCACAAATTCCCTGGCTCTCCTCGGGCACCAGGAGGCCAGTCAGCACCACAAGCGGTGGGAGACCACAGCCCTGAGTAGTGGGACATGACCCTGTGCTCAGTTGCCCCACAGGGCATCCACTTGGACGTTGGAGAGGCTGGTTGGCTGTGCTCCTCCTCATCAAATTATATCACCGTCTTCCTCCTCCACTCCTCAAATCCTTGAACCCTGTACATAATCCCAAATCCTTGATTAAGCTGAGAGACTCTGAATGCCTACAAAGGCCCCTTTGAAATTCAGCTCAGAGAACTGACTTTGGACATTTTCTCTGGTTCCTATGCTCCTGCCGTGACAGTCTCACTCCTACTCTGGTTCCGGGTTACACTCTGACCAGGTCACACCTGTCTTGCTTTGTGGACAAAACAGCCCCGTGGGATGTTCTCTGAACCATCTGTCCAGGTGTAAGGCATGGACTTTGATAAATTCCATCTAGTCAATGGCCCACTCTCTCAGGGGTGTAACGAGCTTGTGTTTGGAGGACTTGGGGAAGCTCTGCTCCCTGTCCCAGCCCCGCCTGCCTGGACTCTCCTAACATACTGAGCCGAGATCTCCAGGGAGTGGCTGGCTGAGGTAGCGGGACACGGGCAGACTCGGCCTCTCCCCTTGGCTCAGCGTCCTCTTTCGCTCGCGGACCAGGGCCTTCTGGTGCCGCTTCATGCGCTCAAGCTGCTCCTCCGCAGTCATCCTGCCCCGCTGGTGGTCCCCTGAGTACAGGCGCTCCAAGGCACTCCTGGGTCTCTGAGGAGGAAGGGGTGAGAAATGGAGCAGCTGGGCGGGGAACAAAGAGGGCAGCCACCCGCTGGCTTCATTCCCATCCTTTGTCTCTTTCACACACACACATACACACTCATTCACTCGATCTAGTTGGGTTCCTCTCAGCCATAGAGAACCCATACTCTAAGCACATTCATGGACATGATACCCCAGCCCTCACAGGCTGTCTGGGCAGCACCCCATTCTGCAGATGCAGACACCAAGGCCTAGGCCCATCCACTCAGGTATACATGCAGCACATGATGAGGTCAGAACTCAGGATGCAGACGTCCTGGGCCCCCTCCTGTGAGCCTGACAGGCTGAGAAGAAAGACGTGTGGCGGGGGCGGGAGGGGGGGCGGTGCTCAGGAAATGGAAAGGGTAGCATGATGCCCTTTTTGGTAGGCAGTGGGAAACACATCACTGAGCACATGGTGACAGGGACCCTGAGCTCAGGAGGGGCTGAGGTCACCTCAGAGGCCATCTCCAGGGCTCAGAGGATCACCAATCATTATCCCCCTTGGAGCCCTTCCCTCTGTGCATAATGGAGCAGTGAGCTCCTCCAACTTCTCAAGGCCACTCACAGGGAAGGTCATCTTGCTGCTTTCGGTATTCAGACCCCTCCGGAGGGTGACGTAGGGAGCAATGGTGGACGACTGCTGGAGCCTTGATGTGGACCCTGAGAGCCCTTTTGGAGGAAAGAGAAATGCAAGTGTATTTGTGGTGAGGTGGACAGGCCGACGGCCCCCTCCAATCACTTCTGCTCCTGTGAGGGGACCAGAGGGCCCAACCAACAACCCACTCTTCTTCCTCGCCAGGGCCTGGAAGAGCGAGGCTCCAGGTAGAGGATGAGGGGCCAGCCCAAGGGTATCCTCTGTCCCCAATAGGGGACAGTGTCCCTATAGATCTGTGGGCTACCTTAGTCTTCCTTCACACGCAGAAGACCGGGGCTGCTTGGTAGGTAGAAAGGGTGGAGGGATAGGAATGCCCTCATCCCTTTTCTAATGAACTTACATGCATCCAGCTCAGATGTCCCACCTGTGTGAAGGTTTCTTAAATGCCCCCGGCAGAATCAGTTATCTCCCACATACCTGTCTAACTAGACTGCAAATTTAATAACGCCTGATTGACTGAATGAATGAATGAGTAAATGAAGGGAAAGAAAGTGATGCCAAACATTTACTGAGCACTTACTATGTAACAGGGCAGTCACTGTTTATAGATTTTGTCCCACTGGCCCTACATAGCAAGCATTACTTAACTATTGTAGAGGTGCACAGTCTAAGGCTCAGAGAGGATAAGAGAAGCAGCGGCTGACCATGTGCTTCCCATGTCTGGCTCTTATGGCTTTGAGGAATCGCCTCAACCTGGCTGGCTGGTGCCACGGCTTGTGCTTTCTCCACTAGCAGTGATTCTCATCAGGGGTGGTCCCCAACTATTGGAAATAGGCATCCTGCTGACAGAAGACACCACTAGCATTTAGCACGTGGGAACGAGAATGATAAATTCTCTGCAATGCCCAGGGAATTCCAAGCAACAAAGAATTGTCCTGCCCAAAATGTCACCAATACTGCCATGGATAAACACCCCTAGGCCATACTAAATGAAAGGTTGTACCATAATGAATGAAAGCACAGTGTCAACGGTTGCTGTGGCCCCAACTCAGCAAAATCCAGAGCCCACGCCCTGCAGAGACACAGCAAGCCTTGACACTGTGGTGGTCTGGGAGTCATACAACCCCACAGGCGCCGGAACCATGGCTGTGTGTCCTTCTGCATCCACACCCAGCCAGTGGGAGAAAGCGCCTGACCACGGGGAACAGGTGAGAGGAACAGATGAGGGAGTGTGGTCCACCTGCTCAGGGGTTCCAGGAGGCCTCGATTAAGAAAACTTCTGAGAAAGAGTATGGCTCTGGGAAAAATGGGATATGGTGAGCCTAAGGGCCAGAGTCTGTTCCCACCTCCATCTTACAAGGATAGGGGAAGAGAGTAAGAATGAAGCCCAATTGAGAAAACTGTTTGTTTAAAGAAAGGATTTATTGAGTCTTAGAGTGACACAGAAGAGGAAATAACACTTTGAACGCCTGAGATGACCAAGCTGATGCAGTCACCAAACATCCCCACCTGCAGGGTACAGTGGCTCTGGAGCCAGAATACTGGGATTGGATTCTGGCTCCATCACTTATTAGCTAACTGGCAAATTACTTAATTTCTCTGAGCCCTAGTTTTCTTATCTCTAAAATGGGGATAATAATAGTACTTCCCTCATAGGATTATTATGAGTATTAACTAAGTGAATATAAAATGTTAAACACAACACAGTGCCAAGCTTTATAGTAACGGCTACTGTCATTATTTCCAAAACCAGATGTGATAAAGAGAAAGACAATCGGGATGTGGGCCATAGGAAGGAAGGACAGAGCCCAGCGCTCCCTGATGGCTGCTGCCCATGCTATGATCCAAAGCTGCACAGAAGAGTCCAAGGTGCTGGATGAGGGTTGGGGAGCAGTGGTTGGTAGTGGTGGGGGTTCCCAGAAAGCCTGCATGGAGAGTGTTGCCTTACCTCTGCCTGGCAACGTCTGGTACCTGCTTTCAGGGCCCACGAGTCCCAGGGAAGTTGGGGCCGTGTCCCCACTGAAGGTCGCCAGCTCAGGCTCGCTAACGTATGATCGGAGCTCCACCTGCAGGCAAAGTCTGAGGTGGTCATACCTGCCCAGCATCATGCCACCTCCCTCTCCCAGCCCACGTTGGGGCAAACTCTAGGGTCCTCCCTGCTCACCCTCGAGTCCCCGTTCACACACTGCCCCTGCTCCCGGTCTCGCTTCCTCTCATCCGACTGCCGCTTGAGGCCCCTCACTGAGGTGTGCCGGATGATGGTGGCCTCCTTTGGCAGAGGTGGCACGGCCGGTGGCTGGTCCTCAGGGCTGTAGAGCTCAGGGAGTGGGGGCCTGGGAGGTGCCTCGTCTTCCTGCTCAGAAAAAGGACCATAATCAGTGTCCAGTGAGAGGGAGCTGGGGGCCCAAAGGGCCAGAACAGGACACCTCGGGCCTGCAGAGCATGACCACTTCAGCCCAAACATGCCAACATTTCCCCTGGCTGAGCTGTAAAGAAAGGGGATGGCTCTGATCCAACTCCATTCTTCTCTTGGATGCACACATTTTTCAAAGTGTTACTTATATATATTGTGTCCCCAGCTCCTGAACGTAGGTTTCCTGGGTCCATGCCCTTATTCCACTTGTGGAGAGCACACCACGGAGGGAGCAGGCTGGCGACTCTGCACTTATTGGTAGGTCTGTGACAGCGCACCCCCGCCCTGCCTAAGAACAAACATCTGCCCCCTCCGCAGCTCTCAGACCGAGTCACTCACCGTCCCTGCACAGTCTTGGGATCCCTCTGGGCTCTCTGAGCACCAGCAGTTCCCAACCCTGACAAGATCTCAGAATCACCAATTTCTAAAAAGTCCCCCTGCCCAGAAAGATAAACACAAACACTACCATAGACTGAAGGGAATAGAATATCTGGAGACAGAGGGTGGGAGGGAGACATTTTATTGGTTTTTTTAATATATCTTTTGATTTTGCACCCTTTGAGAGTATTATCTAATAAAAAAGTAAACAACATTAAATTCAAGAAAATAAGCCGATAAAAATGAAAGAACTATATAGCTACATGCAATAATGTGACTTAATTACATACACATAATATTGAAGAAAAGATGCAAGATACAAAAGAATAAACACAGTATTATATACAGGCAAAATTAAAGTATTTGGAGATTCAAACATAGGTAGGAAAACTTAAAAAAATAAAAAAAAAAAAAAAAAGGCAAGGAAATTATCCAAAAAGTCAAGAAAGTGGTTATCTCCAGCAGAAAGGGCCTGCACTGGGAGAGGACACCCGAGGGCTTCAGGCTGCTGCAAAGCTCTATTTCTTGGTCTGAGTGTTGGTATAACAGTGGTCTATTATTATTTGTTAAATTATATATTCATGCTTTATCAATTTCTGGATGAATATCATTATTTCACAAATACAAAACAAGCAAACAGTAATAAAAAAAAAAAATGGTGAACCTGGTGAACATATATACATTATAGGAGGGGAGAGAAGACCCCCAGTGACCCTGGTGGTAACCCAAGTTGAAAAGCCCTGCTACAGAGGACCAAGAGTCTCTGTGATTTTCTATTCCAGGGGTCCCCAACCCCCAGGCCATGGGCCGGTACCAGTCTGTGGCCTGGCAGGAACCAGGCTGCACAGCAGGAGGTGAGTGGCAGGCGAGTGAGCCAAGCTTCATCTGTATTTGCAGCCGCTCCCCAGCGCTAGCATCACCACCTCAGCACCACCTCAGATCATCAGGCATTAGATTCTCATAGGAGCACCAGTTTCTGGTACCATAAAGGTTGGGGACCGCCAGTTTAAAGCACAGCCCAGTAAAGCACATTTTTAATGAATATTCTGATAGTTCTGATGCAAGAA